TAGCACGTGGAGTCCAAAAATCTAAGGGTTTATATAGGAAATAGGAAGTTTGTGGCTATAGATTAGATGGCTTGGATGAAGCCTGGACAAAGGCACTGATTGCCTGAGCTTTGTTAAGCCAAGGTGTGAGGATGACCTAAACAATGTACTTGGACCTTGACACAATCAAGGAGGGAGGCTAGAGAAAAAGGGCACAGTTAAATCTAACCACTGCCCCAGGAGTAAGAATCAGGACAAAAAAGCACTATTATGATGACTTTTGGGATAATGGTCTTTCCCCTTTAGCAACTCCCAAATCAGTCTGGTAGGGAATTTTCCCATTGTTTGGGCAGGCCCTCCCTGTGCCTACCTGACTTGCCATCTAGAGGCTTATAGCTGACATCCCAAGGGTCATAGAGGGACTCCATGTGTCCCAAAAATGTATTAAAACCATATTTGCTAACAACAAGGCCATTTAATTTCTCACTTAAAAGTTGATGAGATCTAACTGATTTGTATGATAATTCAAATATATATGAAGATCCTTCACAATGACAGAGCAAAGGGACTGTGAGAAGGTCATAAGAAAGGCATGAGGAACATGGTGTATCCAGAGGCCAATACATCCCAAACCCACTTAGGCCTGTAAATCCCCCCTCCCACTGCTGAAATTCAGTGGTGAAAGTTAAAGAAGCCTACTTTGAGTATGAACAAATAACAACAGCAAACATGCAAACACAAACTTTAAACAAGGTGTGCAGGGAGGATACACTTTGTTTTAAAAGAGAATTGTGCTTCCTAGATGTTTTCAGAAGCCAGATTCTCCCTTTAAACTAGTGGAACTATAGGCGAGAGTGTTTTGTGGCAGTGTTGGAATACAATGAAAATAGTACAGTACTATTGTGCTGCTCATGATGAGCAGGGAGGGGGCCACGCATCCCATTAATTAACCAGTAAACCAGTTCTGAAAATCTCTTGTATAGGTATATTTCCATAATATCTAACATATGTTAGATGGTCCAGATGATGATAATGAGAGCCAATGTGGTGTAGTGGTTTGAGTGTTAGAATAATATTCCAGGAGGAATCCCTACTCAGTTATGGGAACACACTGGGTGACCCCTGGCAATAACAAGTCTCCTCTGAATAAATCTTGTGAAAGAACCCTATGATAGGGTTACTATAAGCCAGAGCTGATTTGAAGGCACATAACACTAGCAACAAATGTGATGATACTAGCAATAATAACCACTTTTTATTTTATTTTTACCCCACATTGTAAAATAAGCTCTGCTATACTGAACTATCTCTAATTCTAAAGGGAGGTACATTAGAGCCAGATTATTTATGGCACATTATGTCAGCAAATATTTGCTAAAGGTATCTATTTTTTTTATGCCCAAGGTGATGTTTGACTCAAATCTAGTAAGATTCTGGTACATAATCTTTCATCTTTTTGCTAGTTACAACTTTAGAATGGATGAGAAATGATAACCTATGAAATGGATACAATTAAAAAAATCCTATATTGTGTTTGCATAATCAACCTCTTTGCTGGTGCATACTTTGTCTGAACCTCCAGAGTTTTAGAGAAAGATTGTATGAAAAGCAGACATCAGATTCTTCATAGGGTTGGCAATTTTGCCATCTTGGACTCCCCCCCGCCCCAAATACGACTGAGCAAAGCTAAGCAAAAGAAAACTGGACATTATATAACACCCTTTCATGAGTCAGTCTTATCTTCAGATAAATGAAATATTTTCTTGGCTATTTTAGAATGGTTTATTTAAAAAAGAAGTTCTCCAACAGACCTAAACTGATGTACAAGGTATATTTATTTATTTTCCAATATTTATATATTTCTTGTTCTACCTGTTTTTTTTTAATTTGTTTGGGTACTTTACCATAAAAATTAAAACCATGAAGTATACAAGTGAAAAATCTAAAATCTAAAACAGTGTCAAGACAGCAGCAGCATCAAACCAAAGCATGATGAGTGACAGGAAATAGCAAGAGAACAAAAGAGCTAAGAGAACTCATAAAGTGATATATATTTTTGT